CCTTGATTATCAACTCTATGGTCATGTCTACTCCTGTGCGTGTGCACGTACACACACATCCCCATACCTTGATTGTCAACTCTATGGTTAAGCCTACTACTGTGCATGTGTGAGTACACACATCCCCATTCCTTGATTGTAAACTCTATGGTCATGTCTACTACTGGTCATGTCTACTACTGTGCAGGTGTGCGTACACACACATCCCCATACCTTGATTGTCAACCCTTTGGTCATGCCTACTATTGTGCGTGTGCGCGTACACACACATCCCCATGCCTTGATTGTCAACTCTATGGTCATGCCTACTACTGTGCATGTGCGAGTACACACATCCCCATACCTTGATTGTCAACTCTATGGTCATGCCTACTACTGTGCGTGTGCGCGTACACACACATCCCCATACCTTGATTGTCAACTCTATGGTCAAGCCTAATATTGTGCATGTGTGAGTACACACATCCCCATTCCTTGATTGTAAACTCTATGGTCATGTCTACTACTGTGCATGTGTGCGTACACACACATCCCCATACCTTGATTGTCGACTCTATGGCCATGCCTACTACTGTGCGTGTGCGCGTACACACACATCCCCATACCTTGATTGTCAACTCTATGGTCAAGCCTAATACTGTGCATGTGTGAGTACACACATCCCCATTCCTTGATTGTAAACTCTATGGTCATGTCTATTACTGTGCCTGTGTGCGTACACACACATCCCCATACCTTGATTGTCGACTCTATGGTCATGCCTACTACTGTGCGTGTGTGCGTACACACACATCCCCATACCTTGATTTTAAACTCTACGGTCATGCCCTGGCCTCCGTTGACTACTCGCATGGCCGTGGGTGCGCCCTCATCCACCGCCTGTCGTCTCTGCACAAGGACCACTGCACTCTCTCCCTCGTTCTCTTGCGTCTCTGATTCCGTCTCTGTCTCTGTTTCCGTCTGTGTTGTCTCCTGCAGAAGCCCAGGGATAGGTGCATCCGACACCACAAACCTAGGCTTGTAGACGTTGATGCCCTGGCCTGTGGTGATGCGGATACCGTGGTTGTGCACGGGTTGTACATCGCCTGTGTGTGCGCCTGTGGCAAAGTTGAACCACGCATACAGCGAGTCTGCGATGTCGGTGGGTGGCTGAGCGGGTGAGTTGCGGCGCACCCGATCGATCTGCGCCTCAGTCAACGGCACAGTGTAGAAGCGGATGTCGTCCATGGACCCGTTGAAGGCGCCGTCCACTGCTGCGGTGGTGTACGCTGTGTCCGATGGCTTGTCGCTGTTGCCTACCATGATGTACGGGTCGTCGTACGGATCCTCTGCAGGGCGTATAGGGTTTGGTGCGTTTATGGTTTGGAATGTTTAAGGTTTGGATGTTTAGGGTTTGGTGCGTTTAGGGTCTGGCGTGTTTAGGATTTGGTGTTCTTAGGGTTTTGTGCTTCGGGTTTAGAATGTTTAAGGTTTGGATGTTTAGGGTCTGGTGTGTTTAGGATTTGAAATGTTTAGGGTTTGGTGTGTTTAGGGTTTGGTGCGTCTAGGGTTTGGTGTAGGCGTTACACAAGTATTTGCGCTTACCTCGTTTGAGTGTGTCTACAATGGGTGCATTAGCTTGATCGTCGCAGCTGTAATGTTGTCTATCGTCCATGTACACGCTCACCAACCCACGTGCGTAGTCATACGACATGGCCACAAAGTGCCACTCCTGATCGGCCCACAGCAAACCCAGATCACTCTCATCCAACAGGTCAGTGCAATTGCTGCCAGACGACTGCGCTAGAACCCGGAACACCCCGGAAGACTCGGTGCTAGCATTCGTGTGCCTGAAATTTGCGCCAGAGAAATGATGAATACGAAGATAGGTCATCATGTAAATAGTATCAAAAAACACAGAATTACATACACCATTAATATGACATGTCACATACACATTCTATTGAATATATATATATATATATATATATATATACATGCATGCATGCATGCATACATACATACATACATACATGCATA